ATGAAGATGGAGCAGGACTGGGCAAAGCTTTATTCCGTTGTACGTGAGGTCACTCTGAGTCAACTTGATGGCAACATGTTTTAATTAGGGTTGCAAGGAATGTGTGAGTCCAAACAAGAGTTTGTGTAGGTGTGTATTGCAGAATACATAAGCACCATGAAGACAGGGTGTGTCAAGGACCAAAATCTCATGGCAACCCTAGAGAAGTATCTCTGGGCGGCTGAGACTCATGGAAACAGGAACTTGAGTCTGCCAGGCGGTGAGGAAGTCCTGGGGAGCAGCTCCTCTGTGACTCCTCTTGACATCTCTGGGTCAATTACGATCACTTTGGGTTCCAGTCTGTCTGTCTTCATTCTGGGACCTGCTCTCAGCCTGAGCCCTCTGCTTATCCATCACTTCTGCTTCCTCATCCTTCATCTGACCATGAATGCTGACTCCACCTCCTGCCTCCTTTCTTCACACATCCTCTTCCCTTCAGCTCCCACTGCCAACTGTCTCATCCTCTCAGAATCTCCTCGCTTCAGTTCCTGAGAGAGGAGATCTGGTTGGCCCAGCTCACACACTCAGTGTTGTGTCAGACCACTTACAGATTGCTGGCTGGGTGCCATTCCTCACTCTAGTCATTTTGGCTGAGGAAGAGGAAGAGGGCATCATGGAGTAAAACAACATGGCCGCCTGAAGGCCATCAGGGTTTGTGAGCAGAACAGGTGCGGTGATTACCACTCGCAACACGACATTTCAGAAGTCTTTGTCCAAAGGCTCTCAGGACATCTTAGAATGAACTCTCTCTCGTCGTCTACAACTCCCAAGTCCTTGTGTTTAGAGTAGGTGAGACAGACTATCTGGTGTACCAAATTTCTCGCCTAATTGGAAGGCAGTGTTCAAAGATTAAGATCATCCATCCTTAAAGTAAAGCATGTCAGTTCCTCCAGGATAAGGATTTTTGCTTATTTTGCACATTGCTGTGTACCGAGCATCTACAACAGTGCCTGGTACAGGGTTGGCCCTCAACAAACATGTTGAATGAATGATATTGCAGCATCCAGCAACTCCCACATGTGGCGGGTCAGACATGGGAAAATCTAATTCACATGCTGCCTTGGTCCTGCTCCCAGACAATATTACCACCACCCTCAGTGAGTTGGAATCGACTCGACGGCAATGGGTTTGGTTTTTTTTGGTTTAACCAGAACACGCCCATGGATAAACTCTCCAGGCAAATCACTTGTTACCTGCTTAAAGGCAAGTACAAACATTTTTGGGTCATCTGCTTGTTTCAATTCCTGTTATCAACTCAAAATTAACTGTGTGGTCTGGATAGAAGTCAATAATCCTCAAGGAACAAAGATGTTAAGAAGGAGATGTATTTAAACCAGTGGTTCTCAACTGGGGCAATTTTGCCTCCAGGGGGTATCTGGCAGTGTGCACCATAACCGACAACTGTGTGTGTGTGGGTGTGTGGACACACGCATATGTGCACGCACTAATGACATGCAGTGGGCTGAGGCCAGAGATGCTGCTAAACATCCTACTAAGCACAAGGCTGTCCCCTGCACCCCTTGCAACAAAGAATTATTAGGCTCAAAATGTCAGTAGTTGTCAGGTTGAGAAACTATTTAAAAAGATCAGGTTCATCTCTCATAGAAATTCTCATTTCCCACTAAGTGTCGTCTGTCCCTTCTTTACTGAGATGTTCAAAAGTAGACGCCACCCCAATAATCTGGGCACAAAGGGAGGACTGAGAAAAACAGCATCATTTGTTTTATTCAAATTTTATTGGAAGTTTACAAATGTATTACAGACACCAGTAAAACATCATATCCATTTTACAGGGCACAGATCTCAAGCAAAATGTTCACAACAGTCTCTGGCAGAGCCCACACCAAAGGCCTGTCGCAGACCTTCCTAACAAATAGCTTGACACTCGACACACTACACAGACTCTGGCCTGTTTCACCTTCTCGGGCCTTTGAGGTCTTGTTTATGCACTGAAATCAAAGCAGGAGACGAGTAAAGCAATCCTGTGAAGGAAAGAAGGTGTTTAGCGGGGAGGAAAACAGCCAGCGTCATAATTGCGAAGGAAAATGGCAGACACGCAGGCCTTAAATGTTGTCAGGGTCCACAACAGAATCAAAACGCCTTGCAAAAGAATACGAAATCGGCTAGAGAGGCTTGAGAACACATTGTAATGGTGAATAACTCTAAACATTTTGGAAAAGCTCGATCAGAGACCTATTGAGCGTGGATGGCCAAATGCCCAGTAGGGTCAAGGGATGTCTCAGGACGATCTCAGCACAGAATGAGATTTTTTTTCCCCCTACTTTATGGATTCATTGTATCTAAATCACAGAAATATTTTCTTAACACTACATGACTTTTTCCTCTCCTTTCTATTCCCCCTGGGGAAAGCTAGTTTTGTCAGCAGGAAGAAAGCTTATTAAATAATATAGCTCCCAACAGTGAGTCATGTTTTATGGGAGTCTTGCATTGGGTGGGGAGAAAATGGGAAAGGAATCCACTCCTTTCTTGATCCTGACCTGGATGACTGCTTCCAAATGGACAAACAAGCTCTGGTGTCTGCTGAGGTCCCAGAGGGGCAAACCACTGGAGGTAAGGCTCCCCACCTTTCCAGTTGTCTCGTACCTTAAGACACGAACCTCAAGAGGCGGCCATCTGAAACTACCCCCAAACGTCGGCAGAGCAGGCTTGGCGAATGAGTTCTGCGTATGAAATCACATCCACAGAGCCCACTTGCAGCCGCTTTAAAGCCCCTGAAGGTGCCGAACAGCTGCTCATAGCAACTCTTCTGGCATGAAGCATTCAGATAACTGGTTCAATTTTCCACTTTCCTTTGTCATTGATGGGTCTTCCTTCTTAGGCGTTAACATCTGGTTTCTGTTAGGCAGAAGTATATGAACAGCACGTCCCCTCGGACTTTAAATAGTTGTGTTATTTCCTGTTAGAAGGTGGGATTAGGTGAGGAATAATATGCACCATTATTTGACCTCTGCAAAAGGATGAACAGAAGGCTGTCCATAATAACTGGTCAAGGACATGCAACTGGAAAGGGAGGTCAAAGAGATTCGGCTCTGTCTGGCCTAAAGATATCAACTTCCTTTTTGGCACCTACAATCTGGAGAGAGCGGAGTCTCACAACTATCATTTATGAATGATACTCCCTAAAGTTCTGGGGTACTGTTTCTGATCAATGGCAAGAGAGCCCAGGGCAGGAAGATGAATAGGAATCAGTTTGCACCATGACTCTGGCTGGTTAGAGCATTGCAAAGATTTTGAGGCCGCATCTAGGCTCTCTGGGAAAGTATACCAGGATACATGGGTAATATCTTTCCAGGCTGCACATACATATCATCATTGGTCCTATCTGGGAGCCCTGGGGGCACAGTGGTTAAGCACTTGGCTGCTAACCAAATGGTCGGTGGTTTGAACCCACCAGCTGCTCTGCGGGAGAAAGATGTGGCAGTCTGCTTCTGTAAAGACTGACAGTCTTGGAAACCCTGTGGGGTAGTTCTATTCTGTCCTATAGGGTCGCTATGAGTCAGAATTAACTTGACAGTAATGTTTTCTTTTTTTGTGGGGGTGCTATCTGAACTCAGCAACGGCTAGTAGCACCTCAAAAGCAGAAAGGGGCTACGAGAAAAAAGAAAAAAAATATAACCTTGTTGCAGTGAAAGAGCATTCTATGGAATGGAGAAAGAGCTTCCTCCAGGTCCCATATGAGAAACACCAAAGGGTGTGTTTACTCAGCTGGCTGGGGGTGGAAAGGAAGGACCAGAGAAGACAAGGTGAGTGTTGAAAGAAGATGTCAAGAAAAGAAGACCAGTAATTCTCCCCGTTTGGATACACAGAAAGGCCCGTGGGCGGCGCACACAGTTTGCACTCGACTACTATGAGGCGGAATCGACTCAACGGCAATGGGTTCCTAACCTAAAGGTTGGAGGTTCAAACCCACCCAGAGGTGCCTCAGAAGAAAGGCCCGGCAATCTGCTTCTGAAAAATCAGCCATTGAAACCCCTATGGAGCATAGCTGTACTCAGACAGACATGGAGTTGCCACGGGTGGGGGCTGACCCAACGGCCACTGGTAACTAGTAGGGTTAGCAGCTTTCTTCCTTCTGCGCTCTCTGTAAGGTGCCTGGCTGGGGAGGGGCGGGGCGGGGAGAAGAAGCCTGCAGAGGTGGGAGGTGACTGAGCTTGCAGACCTTTTGCCCTTGAGGCCTGGATCTCATTAAATCTCCAGCTCTGACCAGCTTGGTCCCCTGCTGCTCGGCCTTTTCCTCCTGGCCCCTGGGGGTACCGGCTCTGCGTCAGTCTCCTGACCACCTTCCTTCTGCTGATGGTGGCTGAAGCCTTATCTGGGAAATGTAGGAGGGACTCTGGAAAGCACAGACTTACAAAGCAAGCTTTACTGGGAGAATCTCTTTCATTGGATTTGGGGCCACAGAGGACAGGCTTATTTCCAGCTGTTTGCTAAGTGATCCACTTGCTTTTTTCTCTCTTCTTCCAAAAATGCCTTTTTATTCTCATCAATCAAGAAACTCAAAACTCCACATTGGGCTAGCTCAGTTTCTACCAGAAACCTGCCACTTCAGAAGTGTGGTGTTACAGGTTATTTCTTAATTGGTTTGCCAAGCAGTTTACAAACTTACTATACAAACGTTAATAGTTAATTCTCCAGAGGCTCGGATAATCAATGAAGCATTTAGATATGAAGGCAGCATGCGGAAAACAGCCACAACCAACATTTGCATTGCTTTTTAAAAACAGATCAGTGACAATGACAAATGTCATATTAATACCTGAAAAGAAAATTATTTTAATACATCCTGAATGGAGTGCCATTTCCACGTCTTTTACAGCCTTCCTTTTCCCAGACCCGCTTGGGATGGTGTCTGAAAAGTCACTTTTCACATTCTCTCCATAAGAAAATACTAGAAAATGTGAACTCCAATACTGAAAACACACCACCTCACCACGGCAGGTGGCTGCTGAGATACCCCGTATACCACACGAACGGTACTTCTCGCTAAAGGCAGGTCCTTACGGATTATTTCAACTCCACAAACCACTCAGGGGAGGAGGAAGAAGAAGCAAATGCTTCATTGTAAACTGAAGCAAGGTAGGAAGTTTTAGTTTACTATAAACAGCACAACCGTGAAATGTCTTCTTTAAGCAAACTCACTTTTGAGCCCATCTTCTGTCTGACCAACAGTCCTCAATGTTCAGAATGGAAACCCCCTCAACAAAGCCAGTTTTTCAAAATCTCCTGAGCAGCTCAACCTTCCGTGAGCAACCCAGACACTCCGGTTACTGAGCTTGTTAAACTGGACTCTTTCCACGGGCACTGGGGGCTACTCAAGGTGGCTGCCTACTCACCTCTAGTTCCCTCCCAGAAGTTCTCCTTGTCCCTGACCTTCCTTCACACGCCCTTCAGCTTTGACCCTTGACCTGCTTTCTGTCTTCAAATTGTCTTGCTCCTTCTTTCTCCGTCCATGACATACAACCCAGAACACACCATCACTCCCAGAGCCCCCCAGAACCTTCCTGTCCCTCAACTCCAACTGCGGAAGTTCATTTGCTTTGAGGACAACAGGTTGCCAGGCGAAGGCAGCAGCGCCATCGGCCTTGGAAAAGGAAAGCGGATAATACAATCCAGGAAACGAGCACCAGAAAATAATGCCACATTCAAACGACGTCATGCTGACATCACACAAGGGTACCACTCACGGTCACTTTAATTTTCCCCAAGGGACAAATCAACAGGAAGCAACTTCAATGTTCCCAGCAGGGATGGCATTTCTCACGGAACTTTACTGACACTGGATAATTGCTCTAATTGGCAAAAGGTACATTTGCAATAAAAAAAAAAAAAACAGAACAAAACAAATTACTATCACTTTGCAGAGAATATATTCTACCCAGGTGGGAGCAGCCTTAAGGGTAGCCCCTTAAGAGGGAATGAAGCATACAGCGCCTTGGGTATCACAGTTCATTTTTTTTCCAGTCACAAAAAGCCAAATTGAATACGGTTCTTCGAAAAAGGTCTCACTGACATGTAACAAATTGGTATAGGAAAAGAAAAAAAAAGGTGGTCCTGGCCCACCTCTGAATACTACTCAAAGACGATGCTGAACGTGCGTGCAGGTCCCCACTGAGTCCTACGATATAGAAATTCCTTTGATAATACAAAATACAAAAATATTTTATCAGAACTCTCATTTACATTGCATTTACAATGGACATGTAAATAACTTAGTCTTGGGTCCTGGCTAATAAACAAATTACTTACTGGAAAAAAAAGGTCCTAAAAGTGAGAGAACGGAAGAAGAGCACAAGCGAGCAGAAAACATCTTGCCAGCTGACGAGCGGCAACTCCACACAGACCTGGCGGGCAGGGGGCGCCCAACCCTGGCCTCCAGGGTCTGAAGTGTTTCCAAAGTGAAATGTGCAAATAATAGTCAACATGCCAAGAACTGCGACTACTTTGGGAGTCCATCTGTCACCTTGCCTCCAACGACTGAGAGCCATTTCCCTTTCTCCCATCAACCCCCCGAAGCACTTTAAAGTTGAAAACAGCGCAAGTTTCGGAGCCTACATTCTTAACTCCCGTCTCGCCCCATCCCGCGGCCCCCGTGACATTAAGAAATGATGCAGTTTTTGCTCTTCTGTCTCTTCCTGCCGTGCAGCTGTCCTCTGCCGCTGAGTGTGGAGGCCTTGGGGATGCCATAAGAGCTGTACTTGTGCAGCAGCTCGTCGCTGGTGACGTACCGCAGGCGAGCTGGCTGGGGGATCGGCTCTCCTAGGAAATAGCCTTCGTTGTCAGACTCCGACGAGGAGGAGCAGGTGGAACACCAATCGTACTCAGCGAAGTAGGGTCCCCATCGCTCCCCAAAGGCGTTCTGCAAAGCCAGGTCCGACACAGTCCTTGGGCACTGGCCGTACAGGTCCCGCCGGGACCCCGGCCCCAGGCTCTCCTGGAAGCTCCGTTGACGCATGAACTGGTCATAGTCCTCCCTGGCCCTCAAGGGGGGCCTTTCTTTTAACCGAGAGATGGCCTCGCGCTCGCTGGCCAGGTGGAGCGCGTTGTCTGAGCGGGAGCGCCGGGAACGCCTGGACCGGTGAGGTCGGAAGCGGCGGCTGTCGTCCCGCGAAGTGGCTCTTCTGTGGGTGCGCTCGCTCATGGGCTGGATCCTCACCCCGTCCTGGCCCGGCAGCTTGCTGCCTGCCATACCGCCATCGAAGTCAAAGCTCTGGTGCATCCTTCCGTGGGACTGCAGGTCTCTGTACCCAGTGGGGTTGCCGAGCTGGCGGAGGCCCCCCTCCATCTCCTGGTACTGCTGGGCGGACAGCAGGCTGCGGACTGACTCCGCGCTGTGGAACTGCATGGAGGAGTTCAGTGTGCCCATGGTGCTCAGCTTCTCAGAGACGTTCATCCCAGAGTCTTTGCTGAGGTCAGGCATGGAAAATCGGGACAGGTGCTCCTGGCGCTTGGCGCCACCGTCGGCGGAGAGGCCTGGGGGAGAGAGGAGAAGATCACAGAGGTTAATACAAACGTGCCGCGATGGGGGTCGCTGTCGCCACGGGCACCAAAGCAGGGCACTGTCCGGACTGCCATCCATCCAGGGTCGCTGCATACAGTGGTGCAGTTGCACACCGCACAAAGGCGCTCTCAGGGGATGGGAGCAGAGGCTGTGTCCACTCCAGAGGGGCGGCGTCTGCCTAGAAGGGGTGCTTGCTTAAAATGCACCAGGTCAACGGAGATGCATTTTACTAGCCACAAATTCCTCCAAAGGCTCACAAATTGCTAGCAGCCCACTGTGTTATCTAATTCATGTCTCCTCTCTTTAGAACTTCACTTTACAAAGCGATTCAGTTACCTCTGATTGTAATGATGAAGTTTAAGCTATGGAGGACAACTATTCTAGAGGAGGAAACGTTCAGCTCTAATGCCAGGCCGTGCCCGGGCAGTTCCTGACAGTCTTGGGCTTAGAGCCTGTTGCTCTTTTTAGCTGCCACCGAGCCGGCTCCAGCTCACGGTGACCCCGTGTATGCACAACACACTGCCCAGTCCTGGGCGTCTTCACAACCATTAGGATCACTGAGTCCATTGTTTTGGCTACTGTGTATTTTGAGCGCTTTCCACCTATGGGGTTCATCTTCTGGCACTATATACTGGACAATATTCTGATGTGACCCATAGGGTTTTCACTGGCTAATTTTTGGAAGTATGTTGCCAGGCCTTTCTTCCTAGTCTGTCTTAGTCTGGAAGCTCTGCTGAAATCTGTCCGCCATCGATGATCCTGCTGGTATTTTAAGTATCAGTGGCATACCTTCCAGCATCACAGCGACGTACAAACGAGCAGAGCATAACAAACTGCCAGACAGGTGGTGGAGCCTGGAGTCTAGCTCTCACATGGGGTCCTTCCACTCTCTGTTAGCCCCCAGAAGCCTCCTTCCCTGCCTGCTGTCCCTAAGTGGCGGGTAGCTGCTATCTCAAATGTCCTAGGTGCTAAGTGACTCCCCAGGAAAAATTCAGGCCCCTCAGAAGGGTATTTACTCTCAGGCTGCTGAATGATTCACTGCTCCAAGGTTCTAAATGGGTCCGCAGCAGCTAGAAGACGGGAGTGGAACCTGGGGCACCCCGCCTTCCCCTGGGGAGGCGTTTTAAAACCACAGCAGTGGCCCTATGGCTCTCTAAGAGCGGTGCCCCGGCAGGGGGCCTGCATTTCCACGGTGGCGAGAAACGGTTCCCGGTGTCACTGAGATGAAAACCATTCTGAAGGTCCTGGGAGATTCTGACTCTCCAGCAACTTCCATTTGCCCATCTTAAAGTGGCACTCCCTATGGAGGATGGTCCAGTGGCAAAGTGCCAGCATTTCCCACTCATTATCCAGCGAAAGGAACAGCAATTTTCCCATTTCCGGTTGCCAACAACATGCCTGTGGATTGCAAGGGTCCACGCTCTCCCATGACACCGATTACTCCCTCCCACCTACCACAACCGACGGCTTCCTTCCCGCTTGCGAAGCCGAAGCAACGTCATGGAGCCTCTGGAAAACTATCTAGCATTATCTGTGGAAGCTAAATATATATATACACATACACACATGTATTATAAATAAAGCTGTTTAGAATGTCCACACCCTGGCGATGCAATGGTTAAGTGCTCCGCTGCTAACTGAAAGGTTGGTGGTTTGAACTGCCAACCTTTACGTTACAGTGGAACGCAAACCATTTGTGTTACCCAGGGACCTACATAGAGCATTTCACTGTGCTGTAGTTTTAGTATTTGTGTGCTTTACTGTATATAGGAGCCCTGGTGGTGCAGTGGTTAAAGCGCTCGGCTGCTAACCAAAAGGTGGGTGGTTCAAACCCACCAGCTGCTCCATGGGAGAAAGATGTGGCAGTCTGCTTCTGTAAAGATTACAGCCTCGGAAACCCTATGGGGCAGTTCTACTCTGTCCTACAGGGTTGCTATGAGTCAGAATCTACTCGACAGCAGTGGGTTTGGTTTTTTGTAACTTATATAAGTTACACTTCAATAATACAGTTTAAAAATAAAGTAATATCCATTAAAGAGCCAAATCTAAACTTCGGATATACCTCTGGAGAAACTATTCTGCCACACAGCATACTCGGCAGTAATTTTTTCTAATTTCATGACTGGGGTGATTTTCAGGGTTCCCCCAACTCCTCCGTGCCCTGGTGCTCATCTCCGGCACACACACAGATCCCAGACGCTGATTTATGACCACCGAATCACTTCCAGAGCCTCCCGTCTGAAGGCGGTAAGGAGAGGACATGGACCTAGAATGATGAATGAGTAGCTGGAGTGGATGAACTCCAGTAAGGAGGAAAAAACAATCTTCAAAATGACATCTAGAAACAAAAGCTATCTAGGCAGGCCCCAGGATCTTCGCAGGCCTTTCTACCAAGCCCACAAACGGAATTAGAATCAGGGTAAATAACCTACCCAGTCAGCCAGCTGCCACTGAGTCCACTCCGACTCACGGCGACCCCATGTATGTCCGACAGAACTGTGATCCAGGGGGTTTTCAATGGCTGATTTTTCAGAAGTAGATCACCAGGTCTTTCTTCTGAGGCAACTCCAACCTCCAACCTTTTGGTTAGCAGCAGAGAGCGTCTGTACCACCAGGGACTCCATAAATAATCTGTTGCTGTTGTTAAGTGCCATCAAGTTGGTTCCGATATACAGCGATCCTACAGGACAGAGTGGAACTGCCCCATAGTGTTTCCCAGGAGTGGCTGGTAGATTTGAACTGGTGAACTTTTGGTTAGCAGCCAAGCTCTTAACCACTATGCCACTGGGGCTCCATAAATAATCCAGCAAATATAAATTCCTGAACACGTCGTTTTCCTGACCTGCCTTCCATAAGCTCCAAAGCGAAGCGTTTCTGAGAATACCCTGAGTGTGAACAGATTCATGTTTCCATGAGGAGGTAAATGTGCAAAGAGCAGCTTTAGTTCTGCTGGGTGATGTTCCTGGCCTCTGCCATTGTGCTTCGTCGTCTTGGGAAATCTCAAGACCTCCTTACCCACCTCCCCTAAGAGGAAAAGTGCTCCAGAAAGAACAAGAGGGCCTGTTACTCAAGTCCGAAGTTTACCATCAGTTTTACTTCAACACAAGCTACTCCCCTGCAGGATGTGTTGATGGGACAGGAAACGCTACCTGCTCTTGCCAGAGAGAAGAAACACCTGCCTTCTCATTCATTAACTCAGTTTTCTCAGGGTCTTCGTGCAAGCAGAGCATGAACCAGAGGCCAATGCTGCCCACAGATGGGCAACAGCTATGTACTTGCCTCTAAAAAGGGCAGTTCTGTGGTTAATTTCATCACTGGCAAAATCCAGAATCCTTACACAGACCTGAAGGCCCTACATGACTTGGCTCCTGCCTCACTCTCTAAGATCATCAACTAAACACTCCCCTTGTTCACTCTGCTTCAGCCCCACTACATTCTTCCTCCTCCTCAAACCCCAGTGAGCTCATTCCAGCCCCTCTTGGAAAACTCTCCTTTCTGCATGGCTGACGTCTTCTGATCATTAAGGCCCTCAAGGATGAACGCTGCCTCTTCAGGGATGCTCTTCCTGAACATCCCTTCTGAAGTGGCGAAGCTGTCCCCCACCAACCAGCTACTCGGTAGCACCTGATGTTTTCTTAGGTACCCACCACGCCCACCCTGATTTAAATGTGCAGGAAAGTTTACAGCTAAATCGATCCCCCTTGAGAGCGGAGGAAGGAACCCTGGTAGCGCAGTGGTTAAGCACTTAGCTGCTACCTGAAAGGTCAGTGGTTTCAACCAGGAGAAAGATGTGGCTGTCTGCTTCTGCAAAGATTACAGCCTAGGAAGCTCTATGGGGCAGCTCTTCTCTGTCCTATAGGATTGCTGTCAGTCAGAATCGACTTGCTGGCAACGGGTGTGAGAGCGGGGATCTTATCTCCTTGTTCCCTATACTCTCAAGGCGCAGTGCCAGGCATCCAGGTGGTGCTCAATAAATATCCAGTAAGTGAACAAAGGTAACTGAATCCTCACAGCTAGAAAAGAAAGCAATCATCTCTTACCTTCAAGAGGCCGGGGCTTAAAGGACAATAGACTGTAATCCAAATGAGTGGGGCCCAAACATCAGGGACCAAAATGCCATGATCACACTGTCAGTCACACATCTCTTGTGGTTCGTTATATGGCCCACCATCTGGGGCTTCTCCAATTTTAAAGTCAAAGAACGTGTGACTTATAATTAGCTCCCCAATCCGCAAAAATGTTCTGCCTTGTTACTCACAACCGGAGAACTGTTTAAATTAGCAGCTCCCGTGTCCCCAAGATGAAACTACTATCTCAGCTCACACCCCTACATGAGAAACACCCTGTCCCTAACCGTGGACAGAACTGGAGAGCCACGTCCTGGCGGGGTGACTTGGGGCAATTTTTGAACCTCTTGAGACACATCTGTAAAATGGGGATAATAAGAGTATCTGAGTAAGAAAACTGTAGTGGTGATCTGATGAGGTAAAATGTAACGCTCATCACGACCGTTAACAAGTGGGTGTAGATTTTGTTTAATCTCTGCTGCCTTGGCTGCACCATAAACCCCAAGAGGTCAGAAACCATATGGTGGTTGCCAGCCCCATCTCAGTCCCTGGAGTTCCTGGATGATTGGTGCAAGGAGTTAAGTGCTTGATTACTAACCTAAAGGTTGTCGGTTCAAACCCACCCAGAGGGACCTCAGAAGAAAGGCCTGGTAATCTGCTTCCAAAAGGTCACAGCCTTGAAATCCTAAGGAATGCAGTTCTACTGGTATTCAGTCTGCTGGAAGAAAGTGGAGCAAGGCCTAAAAGCGCCCAACAAAAAAGTATGACTCAAGAATTTTACATCCAGCCAACTCTAAGGCAAACAAATATGTGTTGAATGCATGACTCTCTGAATGAATGAATGAATCAAAGAAACAAGCCACACAAGGGCTGACATATAGAGATGTACACTGAATGTAAGCCTC